AAGGTACTGCACCATCACGTGCCAGAAGCTGCTGCCTGGTCAGTGCCTTCGGCTTTGTTGAAAGCATCCAGATGAAGCCTGGCCATGCAGCCACTTGCTGGTAAATATCGTGGGGTTAGGGTGCATGTGGCTAAGCCTGCCATTTAACATTTAGGACCAGATGAAATCACTGTATTACTTTTGTCTCAGTAAATACAAAAGGGTTACTTTCTTGATCTTTTTGGTTTTTCAAGACGGGGTTTCTCTGTATTGCTTTGGAGGTTGTCCTGGAACTGGCTCTATAGACCAGGCTGGCCTCGAACTCACAGATTCACCTGCCTCTGCCTCCCGAGTGCTGAGGCATGCACCACCAACACCACGCTAAGGGTTACTTCTCCAGGAGTTCAAGGCATGCTTATTCTCTTGTTCTTTTTTAAAAATTTTTTTTTCTTGCTGATATTTGTCACATGGCTACATGATGGTACAGAAAGCTGAAGGACCACTATAGGTACCAGGGTCTCTGGTCATTAAGCTGATGTCTGCATGCTTGCTTTGTCCTAGTGTGTGCCACCCGCCTTGCAGGGTCAAAGGCCTGTCTGTCCTGCAGACACTGGAGACTGGCCCCTACCGGCGAGCACTTTGTGACCTTAGCAGCACAGAGAGGAGAAGGCTGCCAGGGCTTGTGTCATGGAGGGAGGTGAGTGGCAGGTAAGCCCGCACACATGATAATAACATCCATGCTTGTCCTTCTGTACAGAATTAGTTACACTGATGAGCCACAGGCCTGTGGCTCACTTACGTTAGGTGGGCAGGGAAGACCTGTCAGAAAAATGAAGGTGTCTGATGGGTAGAAGATTTCAGGTAGAGGGATTACTGAGGGAAGGCACAGATACAGGACTGGACAGGATAGAGTTGGAGACAGGTCCTAGGGGTGACATGAGAGACAGGGCCATGCAATCCTATCACCTAGCTACTATGGGAAGGTTTCTGTGGTGTCATTTTGGATAGGACTCCACAAAATTCACTGAGGCAGATGCAGGCTGAATGCTTAGGCTGAGGTGATGCTCTCTATTTTAGTTCTTTGCAATGGGACTATGAGACAGGAGCATGAGAAGAGTGAAATGCATCTACAAATGTGTTATGTGTTAAGTAAGAATCAAATGCATCAAAACAGGTGTTATGGCATATTATGTTCTAAAATTGTCTTAGACTCTGTCCTAATTTTGCTTGGCCTTTAGCGTGCAGGTGTCTGATGGTCTTAAGTTAGCCTCCCATCACCAAGCACTTGAGAGGTGATTTCTCTAGTATCTCTGAGGGATTGCCTCTCTTTCCAGACTCTGCTTCTAATAAAGCAAGCTGGGTTCTAAATGTGTGTTAGGGTAACTCCGTAAACCTGGCGAGTGGGCAGTGACCTCCAGGACCCAAGGGAAAGAGATACCCAATTCCTTCTGCAATCTGTCCTTTGACCTCTGGGATTGTCATGGCATCTGTGTGTGTGTGTGCACGCGTGTGTGTGTTTGTGTTTAAAATATCTTCAGATTCTCAAGAACACATTTTATAGATTCTTTTTAAAAGATACATTATCACAAGAACCTTAAACCATGGTGGTGTCATCTCCAGGTGTAGGACCTGTTGTTCCCAAGTCTAGTATCCTGTCTCCTGGGATCCAAATGAAGGAAGCCAACCTCCTTCCCACTGGGGGCCCTGCCAGACCCTCGCAATACATGCATCAGCAGGATGCATAAGAGGTCCCAATTTGGTTTTGTTGAGTTTATCTGAGGCCACTTGTGCTTCCCAGGAGGACAGGCCTCCTCCCCAGAAAGTGTGGTAGTCTGAGCCTGTGATGCCAAAGGCCATTCATCATTTCCCTGTTCCACGTTGGTGAAGGAGAAGACAGAGTTTGATGTCGGTTGCTCCATGCTTTTAGTACTGAGAAACCATGTATGGTGTCTTATGCACCATCACAGCTAAACAATAATTGGGTTCTTGTCTGTATTTGCAGAAACAATGTAAAGAGTGACAGCATGTGTGTGCCTGAGTTTACAAGTACTTAAAATGATGATTGTAAACGGGGTGGGAGGGGCTCTCTGTCCCTGACCAGAGGCTCCTTGTTGCTTCAGTCCTAAGAAGCTGTGCCTAGGGGAGGAGCTTGTCTTCTCCTTGGTGTCCCTCAGGCTGGTCCCTGGAAGGGGTTCTGGGGAGTGGGTACCGATCCCGCCATGCCCACACAGTTGTTCCTAGCACTGGAGGATGTGGAAATGAGAGTTCTCTCATGCTTCCTTCTCCACAGGAACACATCACAGAGGACCAGGCATCCTCCTAACTTTCCCGCCTCTTGTACACCCTCACACCCTTACTTCCCATCAGTTCATGCCTATACTTCCCCTGTCACCTTCATACCCAGACTTCCTATCACTTCACACCCATATAGGAAATGAGAGTACATTTTTTGGTTGGTTGTACTTTCAGGAAGTAATTGCCAATCGGCACTGAAGTAATGATGGAGGCTGAAGTAGTTAGTGTATGGCCCCTCCCGACATCATCACTTTCCAGCTAGAGTCTTGAGTATTATGGGTTCCTGTTAGGAATCCATCCCATAGTGTTTCCCGTGGAAGCATCTCCAAGTGGGAATCTAAATACTCATCCTAAAGTCCTTGAACTCTCTTGCTGCCTTGTCAACTCTGTGTCTGCCAGATGTTAAACATGTACAATCAGCAGCCTGTCACAGAACACCTTAGGAAGAGGACAGCTTGATGAAATCCCACAATTTTGCATGATTTTATGAAGTATAATTTCTTGACATAAAGAAACACTGATGGCAAGGAGATGAAATATTGGTTCATGAGTTTTTAGATTTTAAAACATAAAATTGTAATTTTAAAGATCAGATGGTCTCCCCGATAATCTCACAGAAAAATGGTAGTTTCTGGGCAGTGGTAGCACACCTTTAATCCCAGTGCTGGAAGGCAGAGGTGGATCTGTGAGTTCAAGGCCAGCCTGGTCTATAGAGTGAGTTCCAGATCATCCAGGGCTACACAGAGAAACCTTGTCTCAAAAACATAAAAGAAAGAAATGAATAGCTGTAAGGTTGACTTTAGTCTTGTGTGCTAAGCATCTCCTGGAGGTCCCAGAATTCTCTGTGGCTGTGTGGGGAGCAGCTCAAGAATGTGCATCACACAGTCCATAGCGGTTGCCGTGTATGTCCACTTCCAGCTGTGGGTATTAGAATATGATCCCTTCTCAGAATGGGAAGGGGATCTGGAGAGGTGTGTTAAGATCTGTCACCTGGCTTTGTATGCTTAAAATGTGGTGGCATTTGTGATGTGTGCTGTTTTAATCCAGTGATAGTACTTAGATACCTGAGATGAACGACATGGGTGGGGCAAGGCAGTAGAGTCCATGAAGGCTTTCTCCACAAGGATTCATGTTTGTTCATGATCTTTAAAATTGTGCCAGTTCCGCTCCTGACTTCCATCCCACTCGGCACAGCTGACACCTAATTGTGGAGCAGATGAATTTAGCACAGTGCATTTTGAGTTCATAAGTTGACCAGCGGACTCTCTGGGCTTGTAAAGTGCTCTCCAAGTCTGCCTGCCTCCAGCCTTGCCTCTGAGCTCCCAGGACTCCCAGGAAGCCGTCAACTTTGGTCATTTTCCTCATGGCCTTCAGCTTTGCTCCTTGTGCTTTGGAGTGACGTGTTATAACTTTATTGTTGCCCCAGACTTTATTTATTAATGTGTCCTCTGTCCTTTGTGTCTCCCATCTCTTCCTTCCGTTCCCCCTTCTAGTCTTTGCCCCACCCCCACCCCTTGTGTCCACGAGAAAGATTCAGACAAAACAGAACTTTGCCTTTGTTACTCAGTGGCATGTTCAGAAGCTCATCTTCCTCTTACAGAAACTAAATCCCTCAGATCCCTTCTTACCCAGAGACAGATTGGAACTGTCTCTGGGTCTGGATTCTGCCACTAATACGTGGTCTTATAAGGCTCCATAGTGCTGCAAGTTAATTTCACTAAAATATAACATGCTGGTGAAATAAGTTCTGATTTGTCTCAACCACACTCCCTCCTTCCTTTTGCAGTAAAATTGCTATTCTAGATCGTGTGTGTGTGTGTGTGTGTGTGTGTGTGTGTGTGTGTGTGTGTGTGTGTGTGTGTGTGTGTGTTGCACAGGAGTTTAAACTCAGCGTATATACTCCTGCTGAGCTGTATGCCCAGCCACTCTGAGCAGAGAAATTATATTCAGCATTCATCCACTATGGTGTTGTTTAGTTAGAGTTGACTGTAGTACAGAAGCCATAGGTTCACTCTTAACTGAGCAGTCACCATTGGTTACACTGGAAAATATCTAATAACTCACCTGGTTACCATGACACAGTTCTTATTTATTTCACTTATTAACTGTTAGGAAATAGGGTTTTTGACACTGAAATAATGCCAACCAAAAATGTGTATTCAGAAGAAAACGACTGAACTTTGTGCAATAACTTAAGCAGTCCTGTTTTCTACAGGTGGAAGAGGGGTCTTTGGGCTCACTGTACATGAATGCCCAGGCTCAGCACACCTGGGATTTCCAGCTCTCTCTTCTCTCTCTCTCTCTCTCTTTCTCTCTCTCTCTCTCTCTCT